CATTTTTATGATTTAAGAAGTGCAATGAAGGTTTTTAGCCTAAAGAGCCAAGGTGTAAAGATTGGGTCGGTCTTGATCACAATGAAGACCGACTCACGACACTAAGACTAAGGTCTTCGTTCTTGGTCTTCTTTTAGCTCTTGTTCTTGTCTTCCTTCTTCGCCTTGTATATTCAAAGTTTGACTTGATCACGGCGGTTTGGCATTATCAAAACCTGTCATAAAAACAAACACGGCTTTAGTACGAAAACGTGACATGCCCGTGTTTCAACAATTTCCCGCTTTTTGATAATGGCAAACGAGATGAGGTTATGCATATGAGGAAGTCTTTGAGACTTTAAAAAGGTGTTCCCCCTTAATAGATGCCATTTTATTTGAAAAAATAATTCCCCCTCAATTTATGCATAACCTTGATATCTTCCCCCTTTTGACATTAACAAAAAGAATTAAAAGTAAACTTTTATTCATTTAAAAGGAGAAAATGCGGAATACAACGGAATGGAAATAATAATAATAATAAAAACAATCATAGTGAGGAAGGAAAAGAAGAGTCTAGGCAGCGGCGTCCTCGTCCTCGGCGTCATCGTCTTCTTCGTCGTCCTCAACGTCCATGGGATCCCCGTCGACCGCGTCCTCAAAATCGGCCTCGCGGGGGAGGAGGACGGAGCATAGGAGTCATCCTCCTCGTCCTCGCCTTCGAAGTTTTGGCCGAGGTTGGTGCTGTCAAAGGGCGGCGGGACGTAGTTGATGCCACGGAAGAACGCCGTCATGTCATGGTGTTGACGTTGCAGCGTCCAATCCATCCGCTCGATTGACTGCCCCATGCCATCCACTGTGAGGGTTAGCCGATTCAGAGTATCGGCTATGGACTGTAAGGACGCCTTGGCGGGAGCGGGGGCAGGGGCACGGGCACGACTCGGTCCAGCACCGGTTCCGTCACCGGACTTCTTCCGGAAGGTGCTGTCTTGGATGATCCAAATCTTTGTCATCTTCGTGTCCGGGCCGGCGATGTGGATTTCGGCCGCGACAATGAGATCCATGACGAGGAAGGCGTAGGGCAAGCTCCTTTCGGTGGCGATTGAGGCGCAATCCGCCATGTGGATCATGACGTATTTCGCCCAATTGATCGAGGCGCCATGGGTGATTGCATGAACGGCCTTGAGATCCTCGTTGAAGAGACA